TGTGTTTCCCAGTTTTTCACCATGGAATTCAACTGAGCTAAATTACAACTCAACCTCAGCCAAACCACAGAGTGCAAATACAGAATCCTTAATTTATAATATTTATTTGCTGATTAAGTTATGTGAGAGAAGATTATCAAAGAAGTAAAACCTGAAGCAGAGAAATCTGTATTTTATATATATTTATGATATTCATATATTGAAATGCATTTTTAAGTGTAAGGCTCAAAAGCCTTGATTTTTAAGTAATTTTTGGCTTCAGAGGACAGAAATTATTGTGCTTTTAGGAGGTGCAAGAGAAGCCACAGCCTGGATGGAATCACCTTGCACCTCTCCCATGGTCACCTATAAATGGATTTAAATTTGGCTTCACTGCAACAACTGAAATTGGGGTTTTTTTTGCTCTATTTTGTTAGATTTTTTGGGTGGGTTTTTTTCTCTCTTAGGAAGAAAGAAGAGAGAGGATTCAGCCACATCTGAAAACAAAACATCCTTTCCGAGTCCTGTTTCCCCCCTCTTCATCTCAGAGCAGACAAAGGGAATATTTATCCACTTTTATAAACATTCCCCACTACAAACAAACGCAGCCATGAGGAGCAGAGCCAGCCTGGGGAGGGGAGCTGTCAGCAGGGAGAAACCCCTGGAAACCATCGAGCCTCACTCCTCCAACTGGGATTCTGGAGAATCCCTGGCAGGACGAGCCACAGCTGAATTCCAGAATTTTCCACGAGTTCCCAAGGGACAGCTGGGACATGAACCCTGCAGAGCATTCCCTTAGAACCTTCAAGGATATGTGGGGTTAATGCTCAGCTAAAATCACTTTTTAACGCACAATCTTTGGTGTTTTCTAATCTGTTCCTATTTAACTGTTGAGGATTTTAATTTTCATGGAATTGTTAAGGGTGGAAAAGACCTTTAAGATCATCAGGTCCAACACCACCACCATGGTCACCACCCACCACATCCCCAAGTGCCACATCCATGGGATTTTGGACACTTCCAGCCATGGAGACTCCACCACTGCCCTGGACAAGCAATACCAATGCTGGAGAACCCTTTCCATGAAGGAATTTTTCCTAATTCCAGCCTGAATTTCTCCTGGTACAACTTTAAGGACATCTGCTCTTATCCTGCCCCTTGTTCCCTGGGAGAAGGGACAGATTCCACAGCAGGAGGGATTCCCACTTAGGAATTCTGGAATTCAAAATGGTTTTCCAGCTCCACCCTCAGAGCTCTCCTCACAGACAGGGATGAATCTCCTCGCTGTAGCCCCAGCAAGGGAAGGGTGGATGGATTAACCATCCCCACACCCAAAAAAAGCAGGGAAAAACCATTCCAGAACAATGGAAATAAAGCTGTAAACCATCACCTCCCCCTGCCTCAGCCCCACTTGTGTGGAACAGCTTTGAAGATTTGGCTGCACATCCAGTTTTTAATGTGACACCTCAGCACAGGCCTAAATCTACACAGAAATCCCAAAGTCAGGGAACTAATTAAAAATTCCAACATGGAAAATTGTGATAACAGCCCGAACAATCTGAAGAGAAATGAGAAGAAAGGAAGAAGGCACTTTTCAATTAATCCTCCTCCCAAACCCCTCATTCCCTGCACAGACTAGAATCCTTTGCAAAGGAATATCCAGTGAAATTATCATGGAACCACATGGAGGGCTCTGCTTGGGAAAAACACGGGCAAAACACACCTAGGTACTGAAATGTTGGCTCCAAGAGCAGAGCAAAGCACAGCAATCAACACCTCCTTTCCAAAAAAAGGCAATGGATTCAAGCAAACAGCCAGGGAAAATCAGGAAAAGCAACTTCTGTCTGAATTTAACAGTCAGTTAAGTGCAAAAAAATCTTAATTAACATCTCTGGGGGTGAAGGACAAAGCAAATCCATTTGTGTTTTCCCAGCAGGCTCCCCAGACATGACTTTCCCTGCAGGTTGGTGCCTTGCAGGGTCTGTGGGCTCAGCCTCTGCTTTGCTGTCGTTCCCAGAGTTAATTTTGCCATGTGATGAGCAGAGCAGAGAGGAAATCTGCTGTCACTTTTCAGCACGCTCCAATCAAAGCCACGTGCTCCAGGAACTGTTAATCCCAAGCAGGAAAAGCCTCAAAGCTTTGGCATTTCCAACAAGTGCAAGAGGAGTGAGTTTAAACAACAATCCTGTTGTGATGCAAATAATCCAGAATGCTTAATTGTGTGTGCAATAATTCACGAAGAAAATTTGAAATCCCAAATAGATGAGGTAGGAAGTGGCCTCTGGAGATGATCTAAGCCAATGTCCTTCCTCAAACCATGGGCTACCAGAAGTGCTGGCTTTGGGCTGCACCCAGGTGGATTTTGATGTCTCCAGGGATGGTGACAAATTCTTCCTGTGCTCAGTCATCCCAAAATTCCTCAGGGCCAGGAAAACCAAAGTCAGGGCACAGCTGAGTGAACTTCAGGATGCCCTATTTATTTTTTTAATTAGGCAAATGAATTGCTGCTAAAAACAACTCCGAAAATCCCAGTCCACCCATTCCTATTCCAGCAGTGCAGTGCCAGGATTTGGGAAAACCTCAGGAAGTGAAGCTGGATGGGGCTGGGAGCACCCTGGGATGGTGGAAGGGTCCCTGGAATGGGATGAGCTTTAATGAAGGCCCTTCCCACCCAAAGCAGGTGGGATCCCATGGGATAACCACACCAAGGAACCAACCCAAAGCCATGATCCTACAGCCTTCAGGAGACAGGAACCCACTGACTCTGAGTTTTGCATCTCTACAGGTGCCTCCAAACCTCCAAAGCAGACTGGAGATGAATAATTGGAATAATAAATCTCAAGGAGTACAGGCTAATGAGCACAGGCTGTAATATCCACCTACTGCTGCCTTTTCACCCTGAAATACTGATTGCTGAAAGACTGAAAGCAAAAATCCCATCAACATAGAGGGCTTATGGTTATCATTACATTGATTAGTTGTTTTAATTTGAGATTTTTGGATGGGATTCCCTGTTCCAGCACATAAAATTTTCCATTGAAAGCAGATTTTGTCATTCTTTGCATGAGATACAGTGGTTAGTGTTAACATGCAACCAAAAATTTTATGCAGGCAAATAAACTGACTTCCTTTTCTTTGGGCTGCCTTCCAAAGCCCTGGTTTTAATATCTAATGTACAAAAGTCCCAGAACACTGCTTTATATTAAAAGCATGAGCCAGAAATGTCCTCAGAGAACACTCCTGAGGTCAGGATTTTTCATTTGTTATCCAGGCCTCCATACCTAGATGGAAATATGGAATCACCTACAGCACATTTCATGTCTGCAGAGGAAAACACTTCAGGAACAGCATTTAGCACGTCCCACTGAATGGTGTGAACACACTGGGAAGGATTTAGTCACTTGATTCCTCCTAGGAACAACAACTGCAAAGATATTTGGACTTTCTCCTCAAAGAACTGAGCGTGGTAAAAATCCAAAATTCCAGCACAAAGCTGCAGGAGCTGAAGCCATGGGGGTAGACAGAAAGCAGGGTTGGGTGGGATTTTGGGAATTAATTGTTCCCTGTGAGGGTGGGGAGGCTCCCAGAGCAGCTGTGGCTGCCCCTGGATCCCTGCAGTGCCCAAGGCCAGGCTGGAATAAGCTGGGACAGTGGAAGGTGGCAGGGGTGGAATTAGATGAACTTCAAGGTCCCTTCCACCCAAACCATTGCAGGATTCCACACTCAGCACCTCAGCAAAGGCAGGAAACCAAGAGGGATTTATGAGGCTGGAATAAGCTGGGACAGTGGAAAGTGTCAGGGGTGGAATTAGATGATTTTAAGGTCCCTTCCACCCAAACCATTGCAGGATTCCACACTCTCAGCACCTCAGCAAAGCCACGCAGCCAAACCAAAATTCACCTTGGAAACCAAGAGGGATTTCTGATTTGGGGGGAAGGTCTGGTTTGTACCTGAGCCACTGTAGGAGGAGGATGAGGGGGTTCTCCTGGAGAAGCTTTTCACAGCCAGGCTCTGGCCTCTCTGCTTCCTCCTCCACGCTGTCCTGCACTTGGAGTCGATGCTCTGCTTGATGCGGTACCAGTCCGACTCTGTGATGCCAAACTTGTAAAACAGGTGGCCTGGAATGGAGGAAAAATAAAAAAAATGTAAAAATACAGCAGAATATAGCATCGAAATACCTTAGAAATACCATAGAGTGAGAGACACTGAGAGATGGAAATAGAAACATGTTTCAAAGGATGGCTTTACAGAAAAGACTGGATACTTTGGAGAAATAAAATTATGAAAGATGCACTGTAGTAGGACCCACAAGGGTTAATTTTGGATTATTGGCTTTAAGGTTTCTACAGCATGATATGGCTAAAGCTGATAGACCAAAAAGCACTTACAGTGTACTGTAATTAGGAAATAGTTGGCTTCTAATTGTGAGGGTGTGAATTATAACATCTGTATTGTCTCACCCTTCTCAAGAGACTGAAAATGGAATAAAAGTTTAAGCACCTCTCAGCTGCCTCATGTCTAGCTCAGAAAGGGCTTAATTTGACAATAATAATCAACACAAACTTGTATTTTCCAGAGAACAGAGAGGACACACACAGCCCCACACAGCAGGCTCTGCACCTGTGCAAAGAGCCCCAGAGCTGAGCAGGGACAGGACTTCTTCAACAAAACTTATTCCCAAAAGTCAGTGATTGTTCACCTGCACAGTTCTGGGTGTAAAAATGCCAGGAATTTTAACAATGTAAAATGTCCATGGAATTTTATCAGCTGCACTGGGGTCTGTGGAAGCTGCACTGTTACAAAGCAAGAGGAGGATCCAGCACTGCAGAGGCAAAGCTGGAGCAGGGATTATTCCTCACTGACAGCACCCCTCAGTAAGTCTGACTACAAAACTGACTCCTGCTGAAGAAGGAAAATGCAGAAAATTCCATATAGAAAAAAAAAAAATCAACTCTTTTAAAGCTCAGTGCAAAATGGACCCAAATTCAGTAAAAAACAGCCCAAAATGAGGATCCCCTCACAGAATTCAGGCACCTCAGGAGCCTCAGCATGAACTCTGCAGCCCCTGGTGCTGAGCTGCCAAAGTGCTCCATGAACACGGTGAGGAGTGGCTTTAAAGCTGGGAATTTAACTGGGAATGCTGTGCACTGTCAGCTTGAATTATCCCACACTTTCACCATTTCATTGCAGCTTCTGAGGGGTTTGGATTTTCCTAAAGCACCAACGCTGGAGAGCAAAAAACTTCAAGCCCTCACGGAAAAAAAATCCCCTGAAAAATCCATTATTTGCCCATCTGAAATAGAGGGAGATGGGTTTTTATATGGAGAGGACAAGGGGAATGGCTTTAAACTGACAAAGGAAAGGGGTGGGGGGGATTTTGGGAGGGAATTGTTCCCTGTGAGGGTGGAGAGGAGCTGGGATGGAATTCCCAGAGCAGCTGTGGCTGCCCCTGATCCCTGGCAGGGCCCAAGGCCAGGCTGGAGCACCCTGGGACAGTGCAGGTGTCTCTGCCCATTAAATGAACTTTAAGGTCCTTCCCGCCCAAACCATCCCAGGATTTTCTGATCCAAACCCCCTAAATCCAACCAGAGCTCTCTGAACATTTAATACATTAATACTCTCAAAATTCAGAGGTGCAACACTGAACAAGCCAAGGCTGCCAGAGATGCTTTTACTCCACAGGGCAAAGCTTCAAGAATCTCTAAAATTCTCATTTTCCTTTCCCTACCCTGCAAAGTAAAATAATCTTTTCCACTTTTCCACTTACTGGGCTTTCCATCTTCCTCTCAGATGGGCTCCTAATCCTGTGAAGGACTTGCCTAAGCTGTTGTATATAGAACCTAAAGAACAGGATATGGGCTGCTCCTGCAAGACAAATGGTTTGAAGCCTGGAGCCACAAAATTCCAGGTTTGCACAAACTAAAAGCTCCACAGCTTCCTCTGCATTACAAATGAGCCCAGAGTCCTCAAAGCCTGAGATCTGCAGGCTCTAACAGAGCCAAGTGGAGAAGTGGAATCTCTTGTGGCATCGTTTTTTAAAATAAAATTTATTTTTTCAATGCTTTAATTAATTTTTTGTAGGAGCAATTTGAAATAAAGGAGAGAATACACAGGAAGAAAACACTGGACTCCAAATCTGCTTCACAAGTGCTTTGAAGTCCCCAAGATTTCTCACTTCTAAGCGACAGCAAGAATCCAGAGAAGTTTCCAGCCCTGTGTGGAGTCTCCAAACTGGGAAAGGAGGAAAATGGGCTGAAATTCCAATTTGCTGCTGTGCAGGGTTGCCTTTCCATGGGTGTCAGCAAAAGCAGAGCACAGAATGAATTTCAGATGTAAAATCTGTGCAGTCACTGTCGCAATCTAAAATGCTGTTTTACAACCAGGTCCCGAACAAGACATTTCCTACCAGGAAAAATCACAACCTGAAGGCACTGGAGGAGTTTTTAAGGAGATAAAAAGTTCCCAATGGCATTAAAAATATGATTTACCTGCAGGAGAGAGAGAAATCCCCCAAAATGTGCACACAATAGCAGAGTGGAGCGAGCTGAGTGCTCCCTACCCACAAATAATTGCAGGCAGGAGAGCCCCCAGCATGTCCCACTCCCAATCCACCCAAAATCAGGATATTGGAAATTAAACTCTCACTTGGGGAAATCCAGAGGAGAGAAAAGGCAGGAAAGCTCCAGGGACAAGGGATTTGAGGGTTTTTTGGATCATTTACTCTCCAAAGCTGCATCAAACATTGATATTTTACACAGCACAGCATCCACGAGCCACAGAACAGCACAGAAAAATCCAGGCAGGAATATAAATCAGCACTTGGACCAAAAGACAATGATTTGGAAGATAGATGCCCATAAAACAAGAATAAAGAACAGGATTTAGATAATTTAAGACTGGCTGGGTGTGTTTTTAGTGATCTTTTCACGAATGGTGCCTCAAAAAAGAAAAATATTCCTTATTTTAAAACAATAAAAACCCAAAGTTTGCTTTTTTGGGGGGGAGGAATCTCATTTCCTGAAGGAAGCTTTCCATAAAAAACACACCAGAGACTTAAAAATAATTCAGTGATTTCATAAATTGCAGGAGTTGGGCTGATTTATACAGACAGAGATCCTGGCTGCAGCTTGGGAGACAAAAAGGGCTGCAAAGAGAATTCAGGAGCCACAGGGGAGAGAAGAGGAAATCAAGGATCAACATTCCAATGTGAGCAAGGAAAAGCTCAGGAAGAGGGCAAAAATCAGGAAAATTCAAGTCAGCTTTAAGAGGCAACAGGTGCAGGAGGGATCAGAGACAGGGAGAGAGCTGGGGGAGTTCAATTGAAATTAAAAAGAGCAACACAAGCAGGTCTGAAATAAATCTTTCTGTGGTTTTTAAAGGAAATAAAAACTAGGAAATGCAAAGGAAAAAAAGATTTGATTTGGTGCAAACACAGAGGCGGTGACTGAAATGATTCAACACTCCCAAATTTTTGGAGCATCTGCTGTACAAAATAAGGAGAGAAAGGGTTGGAGTTTCCCAAAAACCAGAATTAATTATAAACGAAGAAAATCCCAGGGAAACCACGTTCCTGGGGAAGTAATCCTCTCTTTCTGAAAGGTCAGAAGTCAAGGGGCAAAAGACAAAACAATCCCCACAGAACATGAAAGTGTAAAGAAATCTAATTAAGAACAAATTGAAGAGGAAGAGATCAAAACCAGCCATGAAATATTCCATCCTCATCCCACATTCAGAACCAGCTCCTAAAAATCAAATTCTATGGCAGGAGTTTCATTTGCACACCCTGAGTTTCTGCTGCTCCCCATTCTCCAGGAATCACAGATTTCCTTGGAAATTTCTAAGGTAAATCAGAATTTTCATGCACTTGGCAGAGTTAGGCTGAGGTGGCCCAGAAATTCCTGCAGGTTTTGGTGCATTCGGAAAGATTTGGGAAAGGGCAGCAGAGAATCCAACAGCCATGTATAAAATACAAATATATTTCTATTAATACAGAATCCAAGCAGATTTGGGTCACTGCTCCTTCACTTTCCAATTCCCTCTAATTTTTCAAACCCAAAGAACCTGGTTTATTCTGATTTATGGAAGGAGCCATCAGCATTCAAATATTGCCATCTAGTGGGGTGTCAAATTCCCAGTGTGGCAGGAAAAGATGGATTTTTATCTGCTCCTGGTTTGCTCCATCCCAGCTCCCCACAGGACACAGAGAAAGATTCTGGAGCTGCAGGTGCAGGGAGAGGCTGGGGTGAATTAATTAATTAATTCCTGTAGAATTAATTAATCCCTGCAGAATTAACTAATCCCTGCAGGAACAGAATATTTGTGATGTTCCTGGAAATCCCAGAGGGATCCTTCAGTCCCTTTCCTGATGGTGACAGAACATCCACAGCTGTTTAATAACCTGAGTAAAATTATTAACAATTAATCAACCCCTACAAGAAAATCATTCTGGACCAAAGTACAATTATTATAAATTAATCAATCAACCCCTACAAGAAAATAATTCTGGACCAAACAAAGGGTTTATGACCTGAAAAGAGAAAATTCTTCCTGTTCTCTGCTCCAGGTCCCAAGTTACACCAGAGTGATGACACTGGACAAATGGCATTTGCTTCTAGTTTTTTCCATCACTTTTTTTAAAAAAAATCTTACATTTATTCCTATTTTGTCCCCAATTTTTAAAAGAGAAGACAACAGCTGCAGCAGAAACCTTCCCAATGAGCCAATCTTCAGACTTGCCCTTTTCCTCTTTCCACAGCCCTGAAGGAGCCCTGGCAAAGGCATTTTTGTGTGCCCGGGCTCAGCGCTGTGCTCTCCTGTGCAGAGCTGCTCACTCCAGCACGAACTCACACCAAGCCAAAAGGGAGAAGCACCGAGGGATGGAAGGAGTGTGCAAACAGATGGTCCAAGTGACCTCATACATTCATTTTCTGGTTTCTGGAGAGCCCAGCACTCACCAGAGCCTGACAGCACATCACACACGGTGCAGTTACAGCAGTGGGGACCGACAGCCCCACCACGGCTCTGCCAAGAATGGAAAATTGAATTTCTCACTTGTCTAACACAAGGACAACAAGAGGAGTGTGAGGAGGAGAGAGAAAACACACAATTTATTTTCTTT